ATAGTTCTATTACTAAATGGCAGCATATAAGGATCAGACATTTCAAGCACTAAAGCACTAAATGTGTGTTGTTTTGTGTCATTTTAAAATGTTATCTTTACACAATTCCTTATTAATATACTGACTACAAGGACAAATGTTTTCCAACAGAAGGCTGAAGACACTAATTTATAAATGGGAGATGGTGAGTATCAACACTCAAAGCTTGTGCGAATGTACCTAAAGCAATATTGGCAGATATATTATTAACAATTTGCAGAGTTTGGGTTAAGGACAGATTTTGGTTAATTGCATTTCACAAAGCTCCCATAATCGGACTGTATTCTAGGCAAATTTAATTGAATTGGATTATTTGAGAAAAGATGCAATTTTACACTGTTTTAACATTATTTCATTAGAGTTTAGATCATTATAGAATCTTTAAACTGGACATACCAAAATATGCCTGAATAGCTATTCAAGTTATAATATAGCGAAGACATCACCCAAGACTTTGGCTATCCTTGCAACACTAGAATTCACAGTTACTAGATATAAGCACTATTAGCCATAATTTTAAATGGTACTTCAAAAATTGATGAGATACTGCCACATGCATTGCAATAAGTCATAAAAGTCAGGTCAAAGGATCCCTGTTCTTTCCTCCTTCCCCTTCCCCCCCCTACACACTCACAAATATACATACATTTCTTTCTTCATGAAGAAGCACACGCTGTATTATAGGATCATAGTCATTAAGATTAAGAAAGAAAAATGAGATCACCTAGTCCAAACACCAACCCATCCCTCCATGCCTACTGACCATTTCCCACGGTTCTTGAACACCTTCAGGGACAATGAGTCCACCACCTCCCTGGGCAGCCTGTGCCAATGCAATCTCTGAGAAGAATCGAATATCCAAACAGAACTTCGCTGGCAAAGCCATTACCTCTTGTTCTATTGCTAGTTACCTGGGAGAAGAGGCTAACTCTTGCTATAACCTTCTTTCAGGCAGTTGTAGAGAGTGATGAGGTCGTCTCTGAACCTCCTCTTCTCCAGACTGAACAATCTCAGTTCCCTCAGCCACTCTCTGTAAGCCTTGTGCTCCAGATCCTTCAGTAACAGAAGGGCAACAACCTCTGCAGGGCCTCATGTCCTTCTTGAAGTAAGGGGTCCAGAACTGAACACGGTACTCAAAGTACGGCCTCAACAGTGCTGGGCACAAAGGGACAATCACGTCCCTGGTCCTGCTGATGACATTATTCCTACTACAAGCCAGGATGCCACCTCTGCACACTGCTTGGCTCGTGCTCAGCCAACTCCCGACTAGCATCCCCACATCCTTTTCCACTGTGCAACTTTCCAGGGGTGTCACAACTAAAATGCAGGACCCGACACTAGGTCTTGCTGAACATCATACAGGTGGCCTTAGCCCATCGAACCAGCTTATCCAGATCCCTCTGCAGAGCTTTCCTTCCCACAGGCAGATCGACACTTATTCCCAACATGGTGTCATCCGCAAACTTTCTGAGGGTGCACTTAATCCCCTCATCCAAATCATCTACAAAGATATTAAATAGGACCAGCCACAGTACTGAACCCTGGGGAACACCCCAGCTGGTGACTGGCCATGAGTGTTTTAACTCAATTCACCACAACATATTCTGCAACATCCTTCCAACACCAGAGAGCTTCCTGACCCAGCTGTGCTCTTTTTCTCTTGAATCTCTTATTCACTTTGGACAGATAAAAGAATACATACTTAGAACTGGTTGTCTCTGTTCCCTGCAGCTCATGTATTTAAAGGCCTGTATCTCCCATTTGAGTAATTTCTTCTTTATGCTAAATGCCCTGTTTTTTAAAAATCTTACTTGTGGGTGATAATTTCCCAGCCCCCAATCATTCCTGTTGCTCTCCTCTGAATTTCTCCCAGCTGTACTTCCTGAGTTGAAGGAACTCAAGATTAGGAGAGGCAACAAAATTAAAAGGTACGTGCAGCCTTGTTCACTTTCCTAGGAAGTGTATGTGAACAATATCCATACAATATGTGACTGTTTTCCTTCTACATCTTGCAAAATCCCTTATGGGAGATCAATCACAAATTAAAAATGCAGAGCCTCTGCAGCATTTGTTTCCACCCATGAGAGAATACTACGCAAAGGACTAACATATCAAAGCACTCTGGATCCGTAAGAATTGGTTGTAATCATTTTAATAATAGCTCAGTGAGGCTTTCCAAAAAAGACAGCATCACCAGCATCTCCACTGTTACATCCTCATCACTGGCCTGTGCAAAATGCTATTATCAGAAGATTTCTCTTTTCCTCAATTAAGTCATTCAAAAACATGGACATAAGGAGAATGAGTCTTCCCTCTTAATAATATGTTACAGGTTACTATCTTCCTACCCTGCAATACAGGCCTTTTGTCTTCATTAAGGATTTAGATTGGGAAATATGCCCTTAGTCAAATGAGAAAAAGCCCACAGCCCACGCTCCTGCAGCAGGCCATGTGCAAAGCAGCAGGAGGCAACGTGCGCTGGGGGCGAGCAGCAGTGGGAGAGAGGAAACGGGAATCAGATCTTGGTATTTAGAAGTCACCCTCTGAAATATGATCAGATGACTTTGCTGGCTGCTTGTCTCACCAGCACCAGAACAAGAACTGATTCCATATGGCCACCCACAACTCAAAATTCAGGGATTGTTACCATTCACCTCACCATGTATCTCATTCACCTAACCTGAATCCTCTTGTCCAGTGACACAGGAGTAGAAAGCATTTTGGGGGGCTATAATGCACGATCCCTGAATGAAGTATTGGAGATGCCCTATAGCTTTCCCTCCATACTGTTTGAAATCCCTGCAAATAAGCTATTCCTTCTTTCAGAATGCAGTGAATGGCATTAAATCCAGCTGGTGACTGGTCACAAGTGGTATTTCCAAGGGGTCGGTACTGGGATCTGTCTTGTTTAATATCTTTCTTTATTATGTGGATGAAGGATTTATGTACACCCTCAGTAAGTTTGCAGGTGACACTAAGTTGGGGGGAAGTGCTGATCTGCCCTGGAGGTAGGAAGGCCCTATAGAGAGACCTGGACAAGATGGATCAATGGGCTGAGGGCAACGGGATGAAGTTCAATAAGACCAAATGTCAAGTCCTGCAGTTTAGCCACAACAACACCAGGCAATGCTACAGGCTTATAGTAGAGTGGCTGGAAATCAGCATGGAGGAAAAGGATCTGGGGGCGATGGTCAACGCTTGGCTGAACATGAACCAGCAGTGTGCCATGATGGCCAAGAAGGCCAATGACATCCTAGCTTGTATCAGAAATATGCAGGACCAGGGAGGTGACTGCTCCCACTGGTGAGGCCACACTTCGAGTACTGTGTTCAGTTTTGGGCTCCTTGATACTAGAAAGATATTGAGACCCTAGAGCATGTCCAGAGAAGGGTAACAAAGCTGGTGAAGGGTCTGGAGTATAAGTCTTATGGAGAGTGGCTAAGAGAAATGGGTTCAGCCTGGAGAAGAAGAGGCTCAGGGGAGACCTTATCGCTCTCTACAACTACCTGAAAGGAGGTTGTGGCAAGGTGGGGGTCAGCCTCTTTTCCCAGATAACAGCAAGAGGACAAGAGGAAATGGCTTCAAGCTGTGCCAGGGGAGGCTCAAGTTAGACATTAGGAAGAATTTCTTCTCAGAAAGAGTGATGAATTGTTGGAACAGGCTGCCCAGAGAAGTATTGGAGTCAGTGTCCCTGAAGGTGTTTAAGGAAAGGATAGATGTAGTATTAAGGGACCTAGTCTAGCAGGCAATATTGGTGGTCAGTGATCTTAGAGGTCTTTTCCAACCTTAATGATTCTATGATTCAGAATTTGCTTACATTAGTAAAACCTTCCTCTCCCTATGAAAAAAACTTATTAAAATATCATAAGTGAACAGATTAAGGTAACCAATCTTCATCCTTATTTCCACATTACTACCCAAACTGCAAGAGTCAGAAAAGCTTATTTTAAATGTAGATGTATTTATACTTGGAAGGGTGGAGTCTGATTTATCCCTGAGGAGACATAAATAGAAAGATAAAGTCATTTGAGTTTTAAAAGTTGGCAATAAGTAGAGGCGAGAAATCACGAGTGATTAACCTCAGTCGTTCAGGCCAGAAGTAATGTAAATCCTCCCTTCACTTCCATGTCATCAAACAGAATCGGGCCTGACAATCTCAAAATTTATTGCAAAAAAAGGAAAACCTCCAAATCTGCCTTTTCTAGTCCACCTCCCTACCAAAGCAAGGTTGTGCAGTTTTATAGTGCTTTCTGAAGTCTAATTTTAGATGTCCCAAAAAATGTAGCTTGTATTATTTCCCTTGGGAAGTTTATTCACAGTCAAATAAATTTCAGTTGAGACTGCCTGACACAGCCTAATTTCTGCTTTCCTTAATTTGATCCTGTTTGCACTCCACTGCAGATGGCCCTACCCTGTAACGAGCAAGTTTCTTTTACCACTCAATATCAGTTCTGTGAAACATTAGAATTAAATTCAGAAGCATATTTGCAGGTACTTGTTATGCTTTTCAGCTGTTTTGCTCCTTACAAGTCATCTCATCAGTCACTGAACATTATTACTGTTCTCTGATCTATAAATACCAGGAGGACAAAAAAAAGAGCAAGTAGTGCTAACACCAAAGTTGGTAATTTCAGGTGTCACAGACTGTTCTCTTCTTCTATTCACAGTACATGGTTGAATAACTGCTGCGTTTAAGAACCTCAATGTACAACTCAAACACCAAATTTCTGAAGTCCCAAAGTCATCACCCAGATTTTCCTTTTGAAATGGAAGACAAGACAGAGCAGATGAAGATTTTCCTTCTTTGGTACCTGTTCTCTCAGTTCTGTTTTAGATTCACCTGCACCGAATTCAATGCATCTGCTTATGCTTTTATACAGATTTGGTCTCATTTTGCCTGCCTACCAGACATACACAAGCTCTGATCCAAAAGCTTCCCAAAGATCTCCTTCTAAAGTATCACTGCCATTGGGCTCACCTTAAGCCAAAGTCCTCCTGGGATCCCAGCACCATGAAGAGCAACAGCACAGTGTTTAGAGAGCTGCTGCCACCTTTGCTATCACACCAAAGCCCTGCAGATCACCATCACGGGTCTGTCCACAAGGTCTGTACCAAAATATGTCACTTGTCATAGAAGGGCGAGGCGCGGAAGAGGCGTAACTCCACTTCAGAACAATGCTGAGGAGGAGAAAAGATATAGGAAAAAAATCACAATTATTTCAATATATGTGGTATGCAACATAATTTTTTTTCTAAATCAGTAGCTTTTCCTTTAAAAAAAAAAAAAAAGATTATAGCCTTTTAGTGGTATAGTCATTACAATACAACAACATAGTTGGATGAAAATTCAACCCTTCTAATCAATTTATGGAAAGAACTGCAAAACAACAGATTTACTATTACAGGATTTACAATCATTGCAACTGTGCATTCTGAGTTAGGAAATTCAGATGTGGGGAAATTTACAGATTTTTGCATAATAATGAAAGCTAAGATGAAAACTACACCGTGTGTAGGAAAGTTCATCTAAAACATCGATCTTATTTTGTTGATTAGAAACTGAAGCATAAATGTGGACCGCAAACCCCGTCTCTAACTTTTAGCTAACTTTAACATAATCATATATGATTTCTCAACTATACTGTTCTGAATTCTGTCTTTTAAGTCTTTCTACTTCAACAACAACAAAAAAAATTAAGAAAATTTAAAATCGCACAAGAGAAATAGCATTAATAAGCATCTGTTCAGTTTTCATGATCTGTGAGATGGATTGTGCCCACACTTGTTCCTCTCAAACATCACTGAAGAACAGCTGAAGTCACTGGTACGAATACACCACAAATGTTTTAATTCCAGTGTAACACATGTAGAGGCAGAACTGGGAGGGAACAGAGAAGAGCGTATGCGTGTTACAGACATTAATTTTCCAGCTACTGCTACCACACAATTGGAAATTACTTGGAAAAAGCTTCCGCTTGGGAGGAACCATGTTAGATTATAATTACAACTGAAATCAAACCCAGTCACACCACTTCTTCCTACTGTTTGCGGTGTGAATGACTTTCTGAGTTCAGAAAACAAAACTAAAAAAGAATCAAAGCAGAGCCTCCAAGTATCCTCACAGCCTCCATCCTCTGCAGAAATAAACCGCAAAATACTCAATGGATTCTGCTGTATTTGAGAGATTTAAGAGCTGCACAGAAGCATGAAACTTACAGTTTTCTTTTGCACCTTACTAGAAATGTAAGCCCACACGTGCATACCTAGCTTACTATCTATCTTTTAAGACATTCAGAGGTAAATTCCCACAGCTGAATAAAAAAAACTTCAGTCTTTTACCACTTCCTAACAGACCACACCTTGGATTTTATACAATTTATGAGAAATTTCTGCTCCCAATCTCCATTTACTTCAATGCAACTGAAAGGAGAATCTGGCTTTTCCATTTACCTTGCAATGCACAAACCACAGGGGCTCTTCCTCCATTTAATACCTGATGAAAAACTCTTAGGAAGCATTTGCCTACACAGGGTCTGTAGAATTGTCTCACAGCCCATAATAGTATTCTGCATTTAAGCCTAGCAACGACAGTAAATCCCCCTCAAGTGTGGAATATTTCCACCAGGCGTGATCCAAATAAGGGCTACATCCCCTTTTCCTTCTGCCTGAAAAAAAAAAAAACACCTTACATAGTGCAAGTCTTGTCCTGCCAGAAGCCTGATAACACTGCGACTAACCAGCCAGGGCTGACCTAGTGCAGATTACAGGAATCTGAAGACGCCTTGCTTCCATGTGTGCAGAGGGCAGATATCTCTGCTGGGTTCCCCATGGTGCTGAGGCTACAAATTGAAGTGCTGTGTCTTGACAAGTCTTCCTTCAGAGGCAGAGCTGTTCATATGACTTCATATTCCCTATGCATGACTATTTTAGGGTGTAGCTTCCTGTGCTCTGTGGAGATTTACCATAGAAGAATGATTGCTGTAATGCTGCAGAATATGAAATTTGTCATCCTCTTTAAATCAAGAGTAAGGGAACAGAACTATATATAAGAACAAAAAACGAATTATGCTTACAGTATTACTAACCGCAGGTTAAAGAGCTCAAAGAGACCAAGGTAGATGAGAAGCAATTAGGACTGGCACAAAGACTTGACTTTACAAAGGAAGCAATTTATAGAAAGGTTTCCTTTAAATGCACTGTATCATCCACACAAAGACAGGCCGTATTTCGCTGCCAGATTTATAAACAATGGTGAATTTGATATACAGTCATTAGCAAAGTTAATCATTGGCCTAAGCCAAATAAAGAAAGTGCGACTCAGTTGAAGTTCAAGGTCAATGCCACATTATGAAGACGACTGGTTACTTTTATACTCTCCAAGTGTTTCAGTACAAACAGCCCTGGAGACCTTTTAGTATGGACAACCTCATGCTCCAAGTTACAACTTGAAGTTCTGAGGTCTCCGCAGAGAAGCAGACTGTATGTTTCAATAATATATATTAATTTACAATCATTCATGTAGTATCGAGAGATTTGAAAGGTATACATGCAAAATAAATGATTTTCATCCAAAAAATTCTTACAGTTGTTTAATCAGTTCTCCTATGAGAAGAAAGTTTGGCCTTCTAATTAAATAGCTAGCAGTAGAATAAAGGGCAGTATTCATAATGTTGCTTGTTCAAAAGATTTGTTATACACAGCTCAACAAATGTCTGTTTTCAAGCACCAATCAAGTGAAAACAATTTGCAAACATGGATGCAATTGGACTATGGGACTTAGAAAATCCATGTCTCAAAATCAATCTAAGTTTTCGTGCTCAACCATATGATCCTACAATCACCTAATTGTTAAGGTTGGAAAAGACCATTAAGATCATTTAATCCAACTGCAGAGTCATTCCTCCATGCCCACTAACCATGTCCCTCAGTGCCACATCCCCATGGCTCCTGAACACCTCCAGGGATGGTGAGTCTACCACCTCCCTGGGCAGCCTGTGCCAATGCATCACCACTCTTTCTGAAATTTTTCTAATATCCAACTCGAACCTTCCCTGGTTCAACATAAAGCCATTATATCTTGTCCTATTGCTGTTACCTGGGAGAAGAGGCCAACTCCCACCTTGTTATAACCTTACAGGCAGTTGTAGAGAGTGATGAGGTCTCCCCTGAGCATCCTCTTCTCCAGACTGAATGATCCCAGTTCCCTCGGCCACTCCCCATAAGACCTGTGCTTCAGACCTTTCACAGCTTTGTTGCTGCTCTCTGAACACGCTCCTGAGCCTCAACGTCTTTCTTGTAGTGAGGGGCCCAAACCTGAACATAGTACTTGAGGTGTGGCCTCACCAGTACAGTGGTGAGTACAGTGGGACAATCCCCTCCATAGTCTTGCTGACTACACTATTCCTGATTCAATCCAGGATGTCATTGACCTTCTTGGCTACCTGGGCACACTGCTAGCTCATGGTCAGGCAAATGTCAACTAACTACAAGAGAACGTTTCATTCATAACACCTCCTTGACAATTCATTAAACATTCTATTTTAAACATTCACATGTTTTTCATCTTGAAAATATAAGCATACAGAGACCTGCAGACGTGCAATATCAGATTGATCTCTACTAGCTTATGAAACAGTCCAGTGCTTGCAGTGCAAGAAAAACAAAAGTGGCAGAGCAATGCGAGTCATTCCTCCCTACAAGATGGCATCAATATCTCGGCGTGGAACTGGACTCTGGTTACTGTACGGATAACTGTCTTCCATAAGAGATATAAAATGCAATTATCTCATCACCTCTGGGAAGATGCTTCCAGGAAAACTTCACCTCAAAGAAAGAATGGGAAGTTTTGATCCAGGTTTTCAGTGAAGCTGTGGTTATCTCTTTTCCCTTCCAAATCTATTTTCAATGGTATAAATGTTAGCACTGATGTACTGACCAACTGAACTGCAACTTGTAAACATGCTTACACATTCTTCCTTTCCTGCTCATTTGCCAATCCTGCTGAAACTGCTGTTTCATTTCAATGACATAACTGATAAACTCATCTTAGATATTCTTCAGAGCAATGCAAGGCTTCCATACTTACAGGTAAAAGGTATATAAACTCCAGTGTTACTAAAGAAGATGAGCTACACTGTGTTGCAAAAGTGTTGTATTTTAAGTACTCTAGCTAATTCAGTGTCCTAAAGCAAATAAAATGCAAAGTGTTTTTATGGCTCCGAAAGTTTCATAGACAATAATTTATAAAATTACGTACATAAAAATGTAATTACTCTCGTAAGCAGAAAATTAGTTTTGAAGTCAATAGACAAAATATCTATCTCTGCTGTCATCCATTTAGTTAGGACAATGCCTTCATTTTTTATAAGGAATAATAAGTTGCGAAGTCACTTGTAACTGTTAATTCCTAGAGAACTGCAGATAAAAGACACTTTGACCTGCCAATCCAGTTCTGAATTCCTAATCAAACAAAGTTCTCAAAGGAAGCAATTTGAGTTTTATTAAATTGAAGATTCAGCCCTTCAGTTCATCAAAGGACTTGAGTTACAAGTCTTTGTTAAAAAATCACATTCAGAGTGGACAATGCAAGGGATATCTACACATACATACAGAATAAGCGGTGAACACTAGACATACAAAAATAGTCAACTTCCTTTGTTGCCTGCTGAAGAAGGAAAGTAATTCAAAGGAATTAACTGGCAGCAGGATTATTTGAAAGTGCACCTTCACAGGAACAAAGGAACAAGGTATTTTTTCAGTTTTCCCTTCTCTGAACAAGCAGATTCATTTATAGAGCAAAAGCCTGATGCCAGAACGAGCTCTCATGAACACTTCTAGTGCAGCCAGTGTCTCCTACTATCACTGCAAGCAGGGACAAGAGGAGGACTCAAACTTACTCTGGTATCAAGTTTTATGCTGGTTTGGGACTCCAACATTCACTTCTACCAGTCTGGATCTGGCCCTCTTCTCTTGTTTTCCTTCTGTTAAAATCTCTGTCCTTTCCTAGTGGTTTACTGGTCTCTCCATTCCCCTCCCCACTTGCATCCGTCTTTATCTTTGTTCCTTTCAACATTCACCTCCACTGTTGCCTGTTGCTGATGCCTGCCAGACAAATTGAGACAATTCATTTACAAGGTTGAGTTGTCTGCCTTGAAGAAAGAAACACAGCACATGTTGCA